TTATTTTTTTACTTCTCGGTTTCTCCCTTTCTCTGGGCAATAAAAAGGAAAGGGAAGAGGAACTTCTCTCTGAAGTCTTGGTGATTTCTTGTTAAGTACATATATAAATATAAGCATGTTGAAAGCACATTCTTAATAAAATTATTAATAACTTAGGGCCAGGATGGGAGGAGTCATCTAGTGTGGGATCACAGGGTTTTGAATTTTAGTGTGTTCCCTATTTTTATGACTAGATACTGGTGTGCAGAGCAGCCCTTTGTGACCAGCTCTGGTTGTGCAACATGAGCTCTGACATTTCCCTGGGTGTTCCAGGTACCTGCCATCTAGGGTGCCTGAGTTCAAGGTACCTTTGATGTTGTACACATGACTCTCCTGAAAGCTAAGGATCTATCTAAAATAAAACTAAAAACCAATAAACCACAGGTGTATATGCACACACACATATGCACACAAATCACCAGAATTTACAGGCTGTCTCTATGAATGAGTAATACGAAACAGCTCTAAAAGTTGGAAATGGGGTTCCCTGCTGAGACAGAAACTAGAAAGAACAAGCACCTAATAAATAAAAAAATCCACTAGTGGAAACTCATCTTCATGGAAAAGCATAAATGCTTTTGAAGACACATGAGGATACTCAAGATTAATGAAGATGCTCTAAAAAACATGACTTAAGCCAAAGATCACCTTGGGAGGAAAGAGTATATAAACAGGGTGGTCTGTTAGGCCCTGGATAAGTGACTTTAGGGAGCAAAGTGGGAGCCTGGCTGAAACACCACTAAAACATGTTACGGGAATAGCACTCCAATCATGGGGGATACCAGATCAGGATTACTCCCCACACACCACCAAGGCTCTTAGCTCCATGTTCGTCTCACAGGACAATGCCTAATGACTAATTTGGCTTCTGCCACAAACGTTGATAATGAAAGACAGTCTAGTGAATAAAATTGGTTTTCATAAAGCTACTTTCTCTTATCTTTCATGATAAATTATGAAACTGGACATTTGAATTCCACATTAATTGTCATGAGTCTATTCTGGGGAGTCTGTCCTAGGTACAGAGATAAACTTGAGGCCCTAATCTAGAAAAGTGATATGACTACCTTTGGAGGCCCTAGGTCTGGCAGCCTCCTTAAATCTAACCTTGACTGGGACACCTGGGTGGCTCAGTCGGTTAAGCATCCAACTTTGGCTCAGGTCATGATCTCAAGGCTTGTGGGTTCGAGCCCTGCATCGGGCTCTGTGTTGACAACTAGCTCAGAGCCTGGAGCCTGCTTCGGATTCTGTGTTTCCCTCTCCTCTGACCCTCCCCTGCTCATGCTCTCTCTCTCTCTCTCTCTCTTTCTTTCTCAGAAATTAATAAAACTTTAAAAATATTTTTTAAAAAATCTAACCTTGACATTTCAGAGCCCACAAACCATCATCACGGGAAAGGAGGATACTGGGAGAAAGAACCATTGTGTTGGAAGCAAGATTCTAGAGTGGCAAGGTCACAAATCCCGTAGACCCCACGTTCATTCCAATACTAAAAGCATTTGTTTCTCCCTCCCCCACCTCCCTCAATCCCAAATCTATTTGCCTCCTTTGCCCCTTTTCATCTCTACCACCATGACCCTGTTCAGGGCACCAGCTTCAATCACCTGGATGACCGTAACAGCTGCCCCTCTGACTGTCACCCCTCTTAATTCTCCATCTACACACCAACCATGGTACCTGCTTGCTGCAGCACATCCAGGAAGTCCCTACCTGCACCCATTACATCTGTATAATGGCACTCATGCTGCTTATGAGGCTCCAAGTCAAGAATCAGCCTGTGGGAAGCTTGCAGGACACCTGACCACTGAGCTTGATCAGCTCCAAGGGCTGGTATAAGAAGTACACCAGTTATTATACACCAGGCACTAAGCAATGGTATCAACCTGGCTAACCAAGTCTTTGCTTATATACTCAGCTCTGTCTGTACTACTTACCATCAATGCCCACCCTTTGGTTCTTACTTTAGTCACACAGAATGACTTGGGGTCACCCCGGAGCACTGTGTTTCCTTATACCACCAACTTAACATGCATGCTGGGCCTGGGCCTGGACTCCCCTTCCTCCATAGTGGAGGACTCCCCTTCCTCTACTATGTCTGGCTAATTCTAGCACTTAAGCTTCAAGTCTCAAATTAGGTATCACTTTTTCCAAGATGTCTTCCCTGAATACTGCCTTACTTACCCCAAAACTGGAATAGTGTTTCTCCTCTCCTTCCCCACACATGTCACCTATACTAGTCCTTAGGACTTACTCTGTAATTGTCAATTTTTCTAACTGCCGACCCCATTGGTGGGGCACAAAACAAACTCCCCAAGGAGAAAGGGGAAGAAGCAAACAAACTGAGGTTCTGACTTCAGCAGCCATACAGCTTTGCTGCAGGGGTGCTCATTCTCCCTTAGCCCTCGTTAGGGCCTCACAAACCTCAAGGTGCAAAGCCCAGAGGTAGCTCAGCTCCTCTCTCTCACTTTACCCACTGATTTGGGATCAAAAGATCCAGATTCAGGCAAAGCTGTGCTAACATTTTCAGTTTTCAGTGTATTTTTTGGCTTCTTTGAGATTCAAATGAATAATACCCTCTCTTTGGGTTTATATAGCTTTATAGTGATAGTTTGTAACCCACAGGACACCAGATAATTATTAGATGATTATTAATGGTGCCAGATTTGGTCTTATGCAAAAAGAGGTGAACAGGAAAGGATGTCAGGCTGCAAGAGGTGGGTGACCCTACTGGACTGGAGCCATCCCGAGAAAACGGGTTTTCCTAATTCTGCTGCCTCATGTACTACACACAAAACAGAAGTCTTCTTGAGGCTCTGTGCTCAGTCTTGGCCCTTTGTCTTGAGTTTTCCACAGAGACAAGGCTCTGGCACATCCTCACAAGTGGGAAGTGGAGACATCCCAGGGCTTTTAGGTCTGACACATGGGAGTATCCAGAGGTTCCTACAACTAGATTACCTGTGCTACATTCAGACAGGCCTGCTGAGTCAGAATAAGCATTTTAATGACCCAAACTGATCAGTGTGTATCATTTCACACCCATCAGGGGCTGTTGCCAGTACAAAGGATCCTCTTCATCCCAACACACAGCTCCCAGCCCCTTCCCTGAACCTCTGGTTGAAGCAGAAACTCAGAACACAGGTCAAGCCTGCCACCTACAGTTAAAGGGCCCATGTATATTAGCTCCTGTGTTCACCTGCCCTTAGTTCAAGCCAACTCTATCCTTAGACTGAAAAGTCAAATTTCCTTCTTTCTCTCCTGGATTTAGGCATGGGAAATTTAGGAAATTGACTTAAATTGCTCTTTAGGCCAGTCTTTGTTTCTTCAGATTAAAAGCTGAATGTTGAATCAGAATAAACTGCATTGAACAATGTGCAGCAAATGATCATGGAGTACCTGGGCTGCACCCCTGAAATAAGTGTAATAATTCCAGTGGTGCCTAATAATTAGTTCTCACTGATCTCATATGATTTCATATGATCAGATCTCATATGTGTGCAAGTAAACTATAAATCCAATTTCTGAATTTCTTTCTATTCACATTGAGGGTCAATTTTTCTCTCATGATGAAATTAATTCACTTTTTCTGTCTCTGTACTACCTTCTAGAGGAAAACCATTGCCTCTGAAATTAAACCAGCATTACTGCTATGAGAGCAGGCTCCAATCCTATGTCATGACTCTCAAAAGCAGGAACACATACAGCGTCCACTCCTCATCTCAGGAAGAATGCATTCCCCATGAAGTTAAATGCTAGGTTGCCCTTTGTTAACAAAACTGTGTAGCTTTTGGTAAATTCCACCACAGAGAATGCAAACCATGGGTGAAACACACACTAAGAGATATTTCCCAAGCTGGAGAATTGAAGAACACATGGGCAGAGTTTACATAGCACAATTCTCATGAGAAGCAATCATGATTACTAAACAGTAACCAAAGCAGTGCATCAGGGCTCTTAAAATTGCTTAAACATCAAAGTTAAGGTTAAAGAAATTGATGTAGCAGTGGAATTAAGGTAAAAATATTTTCTCTTGCTAAAGAGTATCCTTAGATCTCAACATATAACAACACCATCACACATGTAGTCAATTTAAAATGAAAAACAAGTTTACAAATCACTCAGGATACTTAAAAATAAACTCTAGGTTACTTTTCTTTTTGGCAGCACCAGCCTTAACCTCTGTGGCTTTGAAATATTTCAGAAACTTCAGGTACATTACAGTCTTCTGAGAAAGGCCCAGTACTTCAGAATTCTTGGAGTGGCTGTGGAGAAAGAATATTACTGGCAACAAATATTAAAGCAACATTTTAAGACCTACAGAAATATATTTAGATGTTCGTAAATGTACACACATATTTAAGGATTCCAGCTGATAACCTAAATATTATTTCTGTGAACATATTTACATTTCTTTTTGGTTTAAGAAAAGAATGTGCCTTATAGACAAATTGTTTCAGCAGTAGATGGAAAACTCTGTGGCCACTCTTCCCTTTCCCAGTGTATATCTGGGGCTTATGTGGGTATGTAGAGTTTTTTCCTCTGGCCTCCAAAGAGCTCACCTGTGACATACCTTCCATATGCACAGGAAAACTGCTCTTATTCAGGGGCTCTGTTGGTAGAATTTGGAGAAACTAGGTTGCAACATCCTTTTTGGGAGAGGCCAAGTATACTTTTTCATTCTGTGGCTTTGTGTGCTTTAAACAATTGAGGTGGTATAAAAGACTGGACCACGAGATTGCTCACAGCATTCTAGGATTCCTGCTGCCCCACACTACAAACTGCAGATGCTCTCCAGGCCTGCCGGCCTTGGCCTCAATGTGAAATTTTACCCACAAGAAAGCATAATTGGAGCTCCAGTCAAAAATTTTAAAGCCCAATGATACTGATGCTCTTGCACTTTGGCTTTAAAAGCAATCATGACCAAACATTTTCAACATTGAGTTGATTACAATAATGAAAACACCTTCTCAAAAAACATTTAATGAGGTAGCTGAGATCAAATATCAAATCCACAGCATACACAAAAGTGCTTAATTAGTGCTCAGGCATTTTAAAATGTATTTTTAAATGCAAACTTGCTACAGTGCCTAATAAACGCTCTTTCCAATTCCTGAAGATGCATGCAAATGTTGTAAAGAGGCCCTTGCAGAGTTGTAACAGCAAGAGAACAAGAGGTGAGAACAAGTGAAGCTGGACAGAAATAGAAAGGAAGAGCCCTCTGGGCATACAGCCTGGGCTGAAGTGGTTGTGCTCCCCATGGAACCGAAATATTGTCAGGGCCACCAAGAACAAACACCAAGTAGAACTCAGGGATATGATGGGCTGAGAAGGAGGTCTTGACTTCAAGTGGTAGGAGCCACATCCTGGGGCACTTTCACTAAGATTGAGGCAATGCTCAGAGCACCCCTCTTCTGCCTTCCAGGGCCCGTGGAACAACACTCAGGAGGGAGTCTGGCCTTCTGCTGCCCTCACCATGACCAACCTGGATTCTGTCTGCTCAAAGCCACAGACTGCCTCTGGCTGAGCAGCTCTTAAAATGTTAACTTCAGATGACTTCTGTTTGGAGTCTTGGAAAAAGGAAGGGTGGTGATACCAAGGCTGGCAGCATGGATTTTGTGACTGTTGCTGCAATATGAACATTCACGTGCATGGGCACACATGCACACTTGCCTGCACACAGGTGAACACATGAGTTGGTATAGGGCAGCCAAGCAGATTCCCCAAGCTCAGGTAGGGCAGGTGTTGGGATAGTGAAAGGGCCTGGGGCAGGGCTGGAGGGTTCATGGAGAAGGAGCCTGGATCCACTTCGCCACCCTCCCTCTCCTGTCTTCCATGGGGGCAGTCAGCACTCCAGGGCACCCGGCAGAAATGCACTGAAGAAAAGGGATGGAAAGGCAGGCACCAGATCACTCTGTTATTAGGTCTCCGTTGTATAGTTGCTGTAGGCCAGAGGAGGCAGGGTCTGAAAGCTGCTCCACCGCCTCGTACCAGGCTGGGACTCCACACGCCCTTGCTCTTTATATTTACCCAGAATGTTTTTGGCTTCTTCAGCATCCCGCAAAGGGCTCTCTCCATATTCTTCCTTCAGCCACTGTCGGTACTGGAGAAGTTGAAAAAACGAAAATGTCACACACACACACACACACACACACACACACACACACACCTGCATTCACATAGATTTTACCTATTACTTAATGGTACAGATTTTGCCACATATAAACAAGGAATAAATGGGCATTGGGCAATCATAGGTCTATGGTTGGCCAGCCAGTGTCCAGCAAGAGAAATAACTGCTTCTTCCAGGTTTTGCCCTGAGGACATGAAAGCAAGCCAAACCAAGAAAATGTTACTTGATCCAAAGGGAGATAAACAGAAGCTAATATGGGGTCTGAAGATGGTAAAAAATAATGTTCTGAGCTGATGACTTTTGCGGGGGTGGGAGGCATTCTTGGATGAGATGTCCTCTGTGGGCCCCTCTAACTCCAACCTCCATGATGCTAGGCACGTACAGAAAGACTGTGGCATCTTCCCAGGGGCTTCTGTTTACATCACCAAAGTCTACTGAGCATGGTTACCTGGTGGACTTCATGCTTCTCAAACTCCTGGAGCTGTCTCTGGAAGCCCAAGTTGGGGTTGGCACAGGACCTCCCTGCACGCACAGTGTGCAGAGCGTCCTCCCAGCCAAAATCAGTGACGGTCATGATGTATGCGATCACCAGAGTCACACTCCTGGAGACACCAGCCAGGCTGCAGGGCCAAAAGAACCCACATGGGCAAAGGGTTTCAGCCCACAAGTCTATCTTATGATTCACTGAAAGTAGGAGATTCTGTGGATCCCATTTTAGAAAGTCTTCCTGCCTTGGATTATGAGTGGACATCAAGCCAGTATGAAATTATTCAGAAACATATAAGCTTCTACTTTATTATATACTAGAATCTCAGGGATTCAGTATCTGTGTTAGCCTCATTTTTTAAAATAGATTTCCTACTGGCTATGGCTTTGGACACTTTAATTTTATGATTCTCTATGTTCCTTAGCCTCTCTTCAGATATTCCCCATTTCCCAGAGCAGAAAAAATAACTAACTAAAGCATATCAAAGCAACTTGAAGGGTCTTGGATCTATGCAATATATCTATTTATAAACTGCAATATTTTGGAAGACTTCATTTCTTTTAAGTCTGGTTTTTTAGATAAATGAAAACTAAATCTATAACTGAAAACCCCATTAAATACAGAAGCTCTTATGAAACATTTGTTCTTCTTGACATAACTAAGTAGAGTACAAGAGAGGGCACATTCCATGTGCTCTGGGATGTACGGGTCAAGAATGGTTAATTATATCAGGCAGGCTGAGTAAGGGACCAATTTTAAATGCATATGCAAACTAAGGTGGTCACAGAAGGCTGTGCTGCATCAGATTTAGAATGTTCTAGCAACGGTTTAATATGGGGAAGTTCAGAAAATTTCTCATTTTAAGAAAAGCCTATCTTCAGATTTATGCAACCGTATGAAATACAAATTCCTAGAATATGAGGCCTATACATTTTCAAATGATGATGATGATAATGATGATGATATAATAATAATAATAATAACAACAACAATAATAACCACTATCAAGTAGTGGCTCTTTCTTAGGGTTTTATTTCAGAAATACTGAGAGCTTTTAAAAAATACATCCTCTTGGGCTACAAACCTAGAGATTCTAATTCATCAGGAGCCATAGAAACACAGGCACAAGATTTCAGAACTCCCCTTATATGGCCCCAACTGCACTCCCCAAAGTGGTTTTAAGCAAATGTAGATTAGCATTACAAAACCCACAATGTGCTATATGTCTTTTTTTTTTTTGAAAATTTTAATGTTTATTTATTTTTTTGAGAGAGAAAGAGAATGTGAATGGGGAAGGGCAGAGAGAGAGGGAGACACAGAATCCGAAGTGGGCTCCAGGCTCTGAGCTGTCAGCACAGAGCCTGACACGGGGCTCGAACTCTCAAATCATGAGATCATGACCTGAGCCAAAGTCAGAACCCTAAATGACTGAGCCACCCAGGCGCCCCTACTCTTTTTAAAAGTAAAAAAAAAAAAAAAGTAAATCACATTATTTCAAGAACTGCATAAAACTGGAGAACACTATTTTTTCCTAAAGCAGTCAAATGATCTACTGTCCCTGCTCTCCTATTATGGGTTACAGGTCCTTAGAACAGATTAGTTTTTGTGGATAGCTCTTCTGGATATCATGCAATGGATCTCCTTGGTAAAGACAGATTTATCACCAGCCTCAGCAGCAACACAGCCCAGGAGACATCACTTTACATTCCCAAAGAACTTTCACTGCAATAGCAACTTCTTTGGGGAAACTCAAAAGATTGTTAAGCTTTTTAAAAATATATACATTTTACAACATAACATTGTCTCTTTTGGAAAAAAAACTGTGTATAGTTGACACACAATGTTAATTCCAGGTGTACAATATGGTGATTCTACAAGTTTTATATTATGCAGTGCTCATCACAAGTGTAGCTCCTATCTGTCACCATTCAATGCTAATACCATTGACTGTATTCCCTATGCTGTACCTTTTATACTCATGACTTAATCATTCAATAACTGGAAACCTGTATCTCTATTCTCTTTTACCCATTTTGCCCATCCTCCTACCTTCTCCCCTCTAGCAACCATCAGTTTGTTCTCTGTATTTATAGATCTGGTCCTGCCTTTTGTTTGTTTATTCATCTGTTTTGTTTTTTAGATTCCACATATAAGTGGAATCATATGGTATTTGCTTCCTCTGATGTATTTCACTTAGCATAATACCCTCTAGATCTATACATGTTGCTATAAATAGCAAGGTCTTATCTTTGTGTGTGTGTGTGTGTCAGTATTCAATATAGAGTCTCATTCAAAATAGAGAGGGAAATGCTCAGCCTGCACTTTAATGAACAGCAGAGTTCCAGTACCAGGATGTTGGCTACTGGTTCCTTTGACATAGTAGTTATGTGATTAGTATGAATACTAGTGGTAACGACCATTTCATAATGTATATAATTGTCAAATCACTACATTGTACTACTGAAAGTAATGTCAACTATATTTAAATTAAAAATTAAAAAATTAAATACGAGAGCCAACATTCACTGAGAGCTTACCATGTGCCAGGCACAGTGCTAAGAACTTTATGTGTATTATCCTTGGGTTATGTGTGTTATAACAGCTTTCTTTCCAATGTGTATGTACTCATGTATGTATATACATATCCACACAAAATATAGCTGAATGTGGTAGAGAGCTATATATAAACTATTTCTAAGAATCTATTCAGAACTTTTCAAAGCAAAGTGCTAAGCTAAGCACACATAAAAGCACCAATATATAAATGTAGAAGAAATGGTTATTTTGGTGTTACACTAATAAATATCCACATATGTGATCAAAACTCTCCAGAAAGAATGGTGTTTTGGAAGATCATCACTGAAGTTTCAGGGATGAGCTAACAAAATCTGTACCCTCCACAGGAGGCTGTTTTGAGAGAATGATAGACACAGGCTAGAAAAGAGTTTTATGTTGTCTAGGAACCTTGACAGTCCCTACATGAATCCTACTGTGAAAATGAAAATCCTAAGTGAAAATGAAAAAAAAATCATAGGGTTCTCTTTCATCAAAAACAAATGATGACTAACAAATGGCAGGGGTCAGATGGGGTGTATGTTCAAGATTCAGAGGGTAGACAGAACTATTAGGTACTGAAATAATTAATCACACACAGAAAAACACTTGACAGAAATCAGGCTGAGCAGAAATGCTAAGCTATTATTAGGTAGAGGCATACATACCAGTGTACAAGACAGCCCTCACCCCTGAGTCGGCACTCGTGAATGAATTTAATACTTTCTTTGAAATGTCTTGTCCTGTAGGGGGAGAAAAAAAGAGAGAAGTGACATCTCTCTACTTTACTCAACATATGATGAAAAGAAAAAATCCGCCTGGGGTTTCTTGAAAAGGTCTCAGAGTCCCACAGCTTTAAAACCGTGGTCATACTGTCTGGGTCTGGAGCTGCCCTCAGACTTAGAATCTGTCATACACAATACTGAGGCCTGGGAAGGACTGCCCTTCTTCTGGGATTTTCAGAATTTCTCTGCAAGGAATCCCTGAAACACATAGTTGTTGCTGACCAGTGTGTGTGTGTGTGTGTGTGTGTGTGTGTGTGTGTGTGTGTGTGTAGAAGGGTGGTTTCTGCCTAGCCCAGTGGTCATTTGGGGCTCCTGAATGCTCAGGACCATACCAGTGACACCACACTGATGATCTGCACACCAGTTGTGCACATTCACAGACGTTCAGGTGAAGAAGATACCCATATCATGCAAGCACCCCAGTTTTAAAAAGTAGTTTACTTCTGGGGCGCCTAGATGGCTCAGTCAGTTCAGCATCTGACTTTGGTTCAGGTCATGATCTTACAGTTCATGAGTTCAAGCCCCATGTTGGGCTCTGTGCTGACAGCTCAGAGCCTGGAGCCTGCTTTGGATTCTGTGTCTCCCTCTCTCTCTGCCCCTCCCTCACTCATTTTCTGTCTCTGTTTCCAAAAAAAAAAAATAAATTTTTTTAAAAAAGGAAGTTTACTTCTAATGATTAAAAAAAAAAAAAAAAGAATAATATTCTCCCATATTGGTCTTCCTTGACTTTGGTAGGTCCTGTCAGCATGTCACCAGAGAGCTGTGGGGAAATGGTACGTGCAGCTTCAATCCCTGCTCAGTGACCTACTGGCTGTGTGACCCTGAGAGACTCACTTAGTTTCCCTTAATCTCACTTATAAAGTGGAAATAATGCCTTACAGGGTCGGATGAGGTAATATAAGCCAATATGCTTTGTAAACTATAAAGTCCTGTATAATGATGAAACCATGATCCTTATTTCTTCTGACCCCATTTTTTAATACCCTTTCTTCTGCATATGTGCACCAGCACCAACCATTTAGAGCACATTCTGGACTGCCTGGTGGGTTAACTATAAATATTCCAAGGGGACCTATAGAGTACATGCTTTTTGAGGTCTTCTACCTTTGATTGACTTGTAAAGCAGTAAAACACCTAAAGTTACCCATGGAATAAATTCATCTTCTTTTAAACACCAACTGAGTGCTGACTATTTACCAGGAACTCTGCTGCAGAAGATTCAGAGAAGAATTAGATATAGTTTCTAACCACACAAGCTAGGTCTACTGTTTCATGAAGGATGACAAGACAAATGAATGCAATGAAGTTGGGAAATTCAGGTGTGGCCAGGTATTGAATGCAGAAATTCAGGTGTGGCCAGGTAACAAATTCAGCCAGGTATTGAAAGCAGAAGAAGCTTAGCAACTTAAGTGTAGGTGCCCAGCTAGATTAAGACAAAGAGGCAATACAGGAAAGTGTCAATGCTCATGCATACATATACATATTCCACATCCTACCCATAAGGCATGATGTCACTAAACATGGAAAGTTTTTGGTGTCTAACCCAAGGAATCCAGATTCTTACCTAAAATTTCTAACTATCAGCATATTGAAAGACATGCCTTTGCTAACCTTCCCAGGCACAAATGCTCCCATACATAAACTTATAAAATAACTCAAGACATTGCAACTCTACTCGCAAACACTGGCTTGGTATTAAGCAGGCAAGAAAAGATTTCTGCTGTAATTCCTGAAATTTGAACTGTCAATACTGAAGAAGACCTCAGACAGAATTGTAAAGCAGAAGCTCATAGAAGCCAGGCAGTGAAGCTGAGTACACAGAAGGATGAAGAAATGCGGGCACGGTGATACGACTGGCAGAAGCCTGGCCCAAGGGCAAGGCACTGTAGGCAAGAGTGAAGGCTCAGTGCTGTTAGAGCTTCCCATCTCTCAAGCAAAAACAGTCTGCAGTGAAGTTTTCTGATTTTGAAGTAGGAAAACTGTAGCAGACATCTTGAGTTGCACTGATTTTGTTTGGGGCAGTAGTTTGTCAGAATAGTCCATCCTACCTCTAATTCCAGCCATGGAGAACTAAAGAAAAGGTTGTGGGGTGGGGACTTCTGGAAAAGTTTTCCCTTCCTGATGAAAGGGAAGCTATCTATCTCTGCTTCAGATTTCTGTTAGGAAACTGGAAGTTAGTGTCATGCTTACAGCTATATCAGCTGCTCTGTAACCACTGGTGATAAGTCCCTGGTGTGGAAAGGCAGCAAGGATACAAAGAGAGACCTCAGGGGACTGATGCCCAGCCCTGGGAGCAAGCATTACCAAGTTTTCTGGTCAAGGCTTAGACTAAATCTCTTTATAACTTAAAACATTATCAATCAGACACTCTGCTACTTATGGTCAAATACAATCGACCTGGTATCAGCAGCCAATTCAACAGTTTTAACAACATTGAGCCAATTCATCTGGCCTCAGAGTGGATATAAGCTGCCCTTCTGCCATTTGCTTCATGGTTTACACAGTACAGCCTGTCCTCTTCTGTAGGTCACTGCATATGGCAGACATTCCAGAGGGTGGGGTGGGTCTGACTATAGATCCCAGGACCAGGGCAGGCTTCCCAGAACCCAAGGCTCACCCCTGACTGAAGCCTGGCAGCTGAGGGGCATGGCTAGAGGGAGCACATGTTTGTCCACTAGGTCGGCCATACTGGGGTATCCAAGGGTACTGAAAGTCCTCTCCATGCCTGCAGCCCATGCTCATGCCTGTTTATGGGTCTTCTTCTAGTCAAGCAGAGTTGCATCTGAGACAAGAGAAGCACAGAAGAACACAGTAACCAGAAAAGGAAAAATAAATCTAGATATGAATGACAGTTGCCAGTTTAGTGAAGAAGCCACAGACTGCCCCAGAACACACTGCAAAGCCTGAGTGCCATGAAAGTTAACAGTGTCATTCTAAGTGGGTAGGACTTACTGTTTTAGGGAAACATGGGCAGTGCTGTGGAGCTCACCAAGAACTTGCAAAATGACAACAAATGAATCCCTTTACTGAAACCTGAGAGTGGGAACAACTGCTTATATTTGGCTTTTATACCTGCATGTCAAAAACCACATGCATGATGAAACCTGGGTCTTAAATATTGTAGGGTGTATCTGGGTTCAAAAGTCAGTTTGCTTCTTCTCAGAATAAACAGTGTAGAGTGGAGTACGGTCAGCAGAGTAACATGCAGACCTGCAAGAGCCCAGAGAGAGTACATGAAAGGGCCGAGGGGCCAAGAAATTCATGAGGAGGTACCCCCACTCTGCTCCCTGCCAACCCTTTCCTGTTTTAGTTCTAACTGCATCACCCTTAAGTCTAAGACAAACCTACAAATGGTACCTGTCTATCACTGTGTTGAGGCAAGGGCTGAGGAACCTCACGGCAGACATCTGTGAGAGGGTGGCTCACAGCCCAGCCCAGGAATGTAATGATGCTAGCGAAGGGATGACTTAAAGTCCCACCACAAAACTTGACTCATAAACACTATTAGGCAGGAGGCCACACCAAGCAGGCATTCCTAGAAATGCCTTTTCCAAGTAAAGCCAGGAGGCAGGCGCATTCACTACTGCTTTGGTGTGTTGCAGGGAGTGGGGGTTATTTCCAGGGAAGCTGATGACATAAGCTCTAGCACTGGTCATTAAACTCCCTCCTCCACAGCGGGAAATACCCGCGACTCTGGCCCTTGTTGCCCAATTCTCTGATGTGAAGCAGAAGCACATATCTCAAGCATCATCCCACCACAGACTGTTTCAATGAACACATGTTCCCTATTCCTGCTCTTCATTTTGTACCTTCACTTCCACACACATACAGAGTAAGTTCAGTTGGAGGAAAGCTGGGGGGCTCATTGACCTACATGTGTGTCACAAACTCACCTAACAGTGGTTGCTGCTGCCAACAATCTGAAGAAGACACCTTGGGTAGAGCAGAGGGGCACTTCAGAGGAGACATGTCCCCCATGAGGGCTCAGCAAACAGACCTGCAGCTGCCACTGTTGCCCTTCCTCCTCTTCCTCAGTCTATGCTTACTGTACTTCTTGAGCAGCCTCCTCTCTCTCTCTCTGTCCAGAGGCCAAGAGCCAGGACCAGCCAGGTTTTCCTGACCTTCAGAGAGTGCACAAAAACATTAGTGGGTGGGATCTAGCAAAACTACACTACATCATGACCATCTTTTGAGGCTGAACAGTGAGTGTTCACTCCAACACTGCTAGATTTGGAAGCTGTGATTCCCCACTGTGGAATCTGAGGTAGCTCTGTCCTGCTGAGGACTCTGCTTATATGAGCAGGAGCTCAGGGAACTGGGCTTACTCCAAAGCCAGCAGTATCAGACCAGGCTATACTGACAGCAAAGCCATGAGACTGAGGACACTTCTCCTTCCCACATATGTATACATGTGTTCATTTGTATACACGTGTACATGTCTGTGCACATGTATTGTGTATGAAAGCAAAGCAGGAAAAAACAGGAAAGGCAAGCACTCTTATATTTTCTTCTTTTCCTGAAAAAGGAATACTTAAAAAGATAAAGCAAAAAGTAAATGGGTGGAATGTACTACCTGAGTGAGCCTGGGCTCTGGAAGGTGAACTCAGATCACAGAGCTGTTTCCTTCTGGGGCAGAATCCATGTAGGCCCCCTCAGCCAGAACACTCTCACCCAACCCAGAAGCAAGCAGGAAGGAACATTCTCCACCAGTACAGACACTGGCAGAGCAGCTCCATCAGTGCACAGCATTTAACACATACAACCAACTCGTATTTATATCAATGATCCCCAACTTTTATATTTCCTGCATTTAAACATTTTTTAATTGAAGGGTATTTTTATTTTATCATGCTTTTCATTTTGCCACATAAGGTCATTTTAAAAACAAAATAAAAACCTCTCTACCATCTACTATAACATCATTTCACAAAGAATAATTGAACACTAGAAAAACTAGG